CTGTCCGGATGGTGCGTTTATTTCGTGTGGCACGATCGTCACGTGGGACGGAAAATGGCGGGGATTCGTCCGGCGTACGGCCCCCCGTTCCGTGTGCGCCAACTCACATAATTTGGAGGTAAACCCCACTTCCGAGTTGCTCAATTGGCAAACATTGTTTCTTTTGGTTTATATACTAGCGATTTATTCTAACCTAACGTTTGTGGTGTGTGAATTGATTGACGGCTTGATTACCTTGCAACCTCTCTCCGTCCCACAAAACCCCCGTTTTAATCCCCTTCCTGCGTTTCGATCGATCTGAAAAATTTTGTGTTTTGTTTTGGTAAAAGTCCCTACACACGTGCAAAGTTTCAGCCCGATCGGCCCGGCGGTTGTCTGGGAAATGCTCGTTATACGCCCGACTCCCAGTATACCTCAAAATTGTACCACTAACGCTCGACGCGCCAAATTTCACGAAATAAAAAGTCTTACGCACGAAGTGCTTGCTGTTGCCTAACAACCTGCCTCCGTCATCTCGGTCCACGCTCTTCAGACGTACACACCTCCGACCTCTTCATTATGAGTATATTTCTTTTTCGTTTATATAGTAGCAATATACTTTTATCCCACCGTTTGTGGTGTGTGACTTGATTGACGGCCTGATTAACTTGCAACCTCTCTCTGTCCCACAAAAACTCCCGTTTTGACCCCTTTCCACAAACGCGATCGTTCTGAAAAAATTTTCTGGGTCGTTTTGGTAAAGGTCCCCTGTACCCGTGCAAAGTTTCAGTCCGATCGGCCTGGCAGTTGTCTGGGAAATGCTCGTTTCCTACCCTCACAGTATATACTTTCATCTACCATCGCCGAAAGGGCGAGGCTTCAAAACACGCCTTGACTGACAGCTCGATTGGCCCAATAACCGATTCGGGCCACTAATAGCCGTTTTGACCCCTTTCCACAAACGTGATCGTTCTGAAAAATTTTCTGGGTCGTTTTGGTAAAGGTCCCTGTTACCCGTGCAAAGTTTCAGTCCGATCGGCCTTGCAGTTGTCTGGGAAATGCTCGTTTCCTACCCCTCACAGTATATACTTTCATCTACCATCGCCAAAAGGGCGAGGCTTCAAAACACGCCTTGACTGACAGCTCGATTGGCCAATAACCGATTCGGGCCACTAAAATCCCGTTTTGACCCCTTTCCACAAACGAGATAGATCTGGAAAATTTTCTGGGTCGTTTTGGTAAAGGTTCCTGCACCCGTGCAAAGTTTCAGCCCGATCGGCCTGGCAGTTGTCTGGGAAATGCTCGTTCTACGCCCGACTCACAGTATACCTCAGAATTGTACCACTAACGCTTGACGAGCAAAATTTCACGAAATAAAAAACCTTACGCACGAAGTGCTTGCTGTTGCCTAACAACCTGCCTCCGTCATCTCGGTCCACGCTCTTCAGATGTACACACCTCCGACCTCTTCATTATGAGTATATTTCTTTTTCGTTTATATAGTAGCAATATACTTTTATCCCACCGTTTGTGGTGTGTGACTTGATTGACGGCCTAATTAACTTGCAACCTCTCTCTGTCCCACAAAACTCCCGTTTTGACCCCTTTTCACAAACGCGATTGTTCTGAAAAATTTTCTGGGTCGTTTTGGTAAAGGTCCCTGTACCCGTGCAAAGTTTCAGTCCGATCGGCCTGGCAGTTGTCTGGGAAATGCTCGTTTCCTACCCCTCACAGTATATACTTTCATCTACCATCGCCAAAAGGGCGAGGCTTCAAACACGCCTTGACTGACAGCTCGATTGGCCAATAACCGATTCGGGCCACTAAAAGCCCGTTTTGACCCCTTTCCCAAAACGCGATCTCTCTGAAAAATTTTCTGGGTCGTTTTGGTAAAGGTCCCTGCACCCGTGCAAAGTTTCGGCCCGATCGGCCCGGCAGTTGTCTGGGAAATGCTCGTTTCCTCTCCCTCACAGTATATACTTTCATCTACCATCGCCGAATGGGCGAGGCTTCAAACACGCCTTGACTGACAGCTCGATTGGCCAATAACCGATTCGGGCCACTAAAATCCCGTTTTGACCCCTTTCCACAAACGCGATCGCTCTGAAAAATTTTCTGGGTCGTTTTGGTAAAGGTTCCTGCACCCGTGCAAAGTTTCAGCCCGATCGGCCTGGCAGTTGTCTGGGAAATGCTCGTTCTACGCCCGACTCACAGTATACCTCAGAATTGTACCACTAACGCTTGACGAGCAAAATTTCACGAAATAAAAAACCTTACGCACGAAGTGCTTGCTGTTGCCTAACAACCTGCCTCCGTCATCTCGGTCCACGCTCTTCAGATGTACACACCTCCGACCTCTTCATTATGAGTATATTCCTTTTTCGTTTATATAGTAGCAATATACTTTTATCCCACCGTTTGTGGTGTGTGACTTGATTGACGGCCTAATTAACTTGCAACCTCTCTCTGTCCCACAAAACTCCCGTTTTGACCCCTTTTCACAAACGCGATTGTTCTGAAAAATTTTCTGGGTCGTTTTGGTAAAGGTCCCTGTACCCGTGCAAAGTTTCAGTCCGATCGGCCTGGCAGTTGTCTGGGAAATGCTCGTTTCCTACCCCTCACAGTATATACTTTCATCTACCATCGCCAAAAGGGCGAGGCTTCAAACACGCCTTGACTGACAGCTCGATTGGCCAATAACCGATTCGGGCCACTAAAAGCCCGTTTTGACCCCTTTCCCAAAACGCGATCTCTCTGAAAATTTTCTGGGTCGTTTTGGTAAAGGTCCCTGCACCCGTGCAAAGTTTCGGCCCGATCGGCCCGGCAGTTGTCTGGGAAATGCTCGTTTCCTCTCCCTCACAGTATATACTTTCATCTACCATCGCCGAATGGGCGAGGCTTCAAACACGCCTTGACTGACAGCTCGATTGGCCAATAACCGATTCGGGCCACTAAAAGCCCGTTTTGACCCCTTTCCACAAACGCGATCTCTCTGAAAAATTTTCTGGGTCGTTTTGGAAAAGGTCCCTGCACCCGTGCAAAGTTTCGGCCCGATCGGCCCGGCAGTTGTCTGGGAAATGCTCGTTCTACGCCCGACTCGCAGTATACTTCCAAAATCTCAAAGTGACACAAAATAAAAATGATTACGCGCAAAGCGCTTTTCGTTTATATACCCATCGATCTATTCTATCCTAACGTTTGTGGTGTTTTCGTACGCAAAACTTTCGAAGACCCTGGCGTGCGACTGTGAGGGGTAATTCCCTGTTCGACGGCGATAAAACTTTCATTTAATTATCCTCTTCGAGAAATAAGTGACAATTTGATCGAAAACCCGTTCAAAAGTCTGAGAATAGCCGAAAACAAACGAAGCTCGAGTAGGCGGGGTCTGGCACACGTTTAACCACCACAGAGGGCGGGGGGGCCAGCCCCCGCCGCCCAAAGTACTCGAAAAAATTGCCAGGGATCGGCCAAACGCTCACCCGTCCCGGAAACGCCGTTAAACGGACTCGAATTCAATCGGCGTGACTTGATTGATTGACATATTGACAGGTAACCGCACCCCGATTTTCAACCCCCGTTTTGACCCCCTTCCCCCGACGCGATCGCTCTGTAAAATTTTCTGGGTTGTTTTGGTAACAGTCCGCGTGCTCGTGCAAAGTTTCGGCCCGATCGGCCCGGCAGTTGTCTGGGAAATGCTCGTTACCTACCCTTCGTCACTTCTTATTTCATCTATAACCACCTACGCTAAAAGCGCAAGGATGCACGACATTTCACTTTGACGGAGCAAAAAAACGCTCAAAGGTTGCCAGACCATCCAGGGACGGTCGCTGCGCTACCCGCGAGGGGAAATGTAAGGAAGATATTTGAGTATAAATGAGCGTATGTTTCAATATGAGTTTGTTGGATTCACCAGAGTCGTTGCGCCGGACGAATGGCGGGAATTCGTCCGGCGCGTAGCCCCCAGCCACTTTAGTTCATTCAGTAGTTTAAATAACAAGTCATAAACTGATCACTCTTGATGGATGTCGATTTTTATCAATTTTAAGGTCCGTGATCACTCGACCGTGACGAAATTTTTTAGGCATAAACTTCACTCCAACTACCTTGTACACCCCAAATATGAGACCCCCATCTATTACCGTTCTCGAGATAGGGCAGAAAATCACTGGACCGTGACTGAAGGCTACTAGAAAAAAAATTTCGCTGATACGTGATTGGAATGATTTTTCTGATCATGCCCATGCCTTTAGATTCTTGATAAGACCTCTCTGAAGCCGGCAAAAGGCCAAAATCACTAGACCGTGACGGAGGCACGGGAGCAAAAAAATTTCTTGAAAAAAGTATTAAACTAAATTTTCTCAACCTACCTATGTATTTTTTTTTTCTCAATATCTCAAATCTTAAGCGCAACATTCCGAACTCACTGGACCGTTACGGGGAAGGGGAATCCCCAAAGTTCGGGTGGTAATATATTCTATTAATTAGTCCCTTTGATATTTAGGCATCACTTTGCCCGAAAACCAATCCCAAGTGCTCCTAATCGCCCAAAAACCATATTACCTAAGTGGGCGTGGCTTTCCACACGTTTTCTCACCACTGAGGGGGCGGTGGCGGTGCCCCCACCCCCAATATTACTTGGATAAATTCCCAATACTCGGGCAAACGCTTTCTGGCCCCGGTAACGGAGCTAAACGGCCTCTAAACCCCAAAATCACTCTTGCGTGACTTGAAGGACAGCTTGATTGACAGGTAGCCACGCCAGGGCCACTAAATGCCCGTTTTGGCACACTTCCCTTGGCCCGATCGTTCCCAAAAATTTTCTGTGTTCGTTTGGTAACAGCCCCCAGCTACATGCCAAGTTTCGCCCGGATTGGCCCGCCAGTTGTCTGGGAAATGCTTAATCATATACGCTCAGAGGTTATAGTTTAGCTATTAACTTTCGTGCAACGAATTTTGATATATATTGTGCATACGCACTAAAGTGCTTTTCCTTGCCTGACCATCAAGAGGAATTCGTGCCAAAAAAATACAAGGAATGTGAACGAATCAGGTTGGATTTTTAATGAATTATATTTTTGTCTTCAAATTCTAAAATACATAAATTCTTCATAATATTTGAAAGAATAAAATCTAATCTGTAATCTATTGTTAACTTATGTACTGAATATTATTTGAAATTTTTATTTGTAAGTCAACGCATGGTAGATATGATTTTTTGATTTACTCCCGGAGGATGAAAGTTGATAACGCGGCTCAATCATGCAGCGAGTCGCATAAGTTGCGGCGGCATAACTTGGGAACAAACAATATTGGCAGTATATTGTCGTCAAAAAAATGATGTTGTTACGATTCCGATTTATTTAATTACCCAGATATACTTCCGGCCCAGACAAATTTTGTTCCGCGAACGGTGATGAAAAACACTCAACTTGCCGAGATAGGAAATGTACTCATATATCTTACTACGGTTCGACAAAATGTAATTCACAAGTGGAATTGTTCAAACCTTTTCAACACTACGGTGTTGAGTGCAAGTAAGTACAAGTTATATAATGGAGTATTGAAACAATTGGTATTTGATAAAAGCTATTAAAAAATAACGTTTGAACAGAAAGCCAAATGTACTTTGCCACGGTGGCAAAAGTAACAATGGACGAGAGAACGTCTTGTATCCAGATCCGTACAGATCACACGATTTAATTGATGAGGCTTGCAAATGTCAAACTATCTGGTGCTTGGATGAAATTATGACAATTTACGAAAAAGAAGGCAAATTGTTCAAAGGAAACGTCACAGTGAAGGTTTGTGTACGTTTATGACGATTTTTCTAAAATTCTCAAAACAGTTCATTAAATTAAATTTATATTTAGTATTCATTATAATATTTTTAAATTTGTAAACGTTCATTCAATGAATACATTCGAATTCGGGTTCAAAATAATTTTTTAATAAATATTTGAAGACAAATATCAACCACCATTTTGCAATATTGCTCAAAGTAAGTAAGAATCGGTTTGGAACGTTAATAAAAAATATTCATCTTAAGCAACTTCATCAATTAATAATTATAGAAAATGTTAACCCATAAACGAATAATTTTTGCTTGTCTTGATTGATTTTATATCACGTATTATTTATCACAGACTCCGTGCAAATGTGAATGCAGAAAGAGATTTATTATGATGGGACCTTATGGTAGAGGCAAATAATATTTTTTATATACAGATATTCGATCCTTATCAAACAAATTTATCTGCCTTTCATTGCATTGGACATACGTAAAATATATGGATTAAAGAAAAAAATTATTCGACCGTTTTTTTTTAATTCTGTTGGCTAAAGGATTTAGTGATAGCAGTGTAAAAAAATGTTTACTGACTTTCCCGTTGTCAATTGGAATAAAAAAAAGATTCAACTTTTCCGTGTGATTTTTTATTCAAATTTTTTCTTGAATGATTATTTTTGTTGTTCGCGTATTCCTTGGCAAAAACATTGCATTATTAGCATCAAAGTTACTACACTAAAGTCATTGGCTAATCCCTCCTTTACTACATCATACATTGAACAGACTGAAACATTGGTTTGTGCAAATAGAAAATCACTGCAAACTTGTTTATCCGGTATAAACGTACCGATATGTGCTTGATCCAACTTAAACCAGGACCTAGGAAAACAGATAATAACAAATATTACAGCAGACGGCAATAAACAAAATTAGGTTTGAATGAGTTGCATCTAACTCAGAATTCTCCCCGGGGTTATCGCAACTCTCAGCAAAGATAAAATGGCTTTTGTCTTTGGCATGCACTCGAGAATTCTAATATTGTTTGGATATTGTGAAAGTAAGAATATACCACTTGGAATAATTGTATAATATACATCAAAACAAAAATGCACCAACCTTACTCAAGCTAATTTCCTCCTTTGCTCAGCGATCTTTTATACGTTCAATTTCCGCAGACAGAAATCAAAGCACCACTCAGTTTATTCATACACTATCAGTCGTTTATTAATCAACAGATATTTTTGTTGAAAGTACAAAATTTAATATTTCCTGTCATGTCGTGGCCCGTGCTGTAGTAGGAAAAGAGTTACCCACTAGAAAATACCACATCCATTAAAGTTCAAATGTTTATTCAAAAACTTGATCATGTCAAAAGTATCGAAAGGATTTAAAATTATTGTATATTAATAAAATTGTCTATGTTCAGCATGAGGGTTAAATAACTTGAAAACCATACAAACATAAAAATTTAGGTTTTGATGACCACATTTCCTATAACAGTAAATGTCAATATTGTTTTGTTTATGCCACTCTCATATTCCCGCAAGATATGGGTTTTGAATACCTAAGATATATTCGACAGAAAAAATTTAATTTTGTATGATTAGCTGAAAAAAGTGTTGATTTGTAAACAAACGTCACGATAAACTTGGGGTGATATTAAAGCATTCTGTGGTAAATTAATCGCTGGCTGAGGAAAAAAATCGTTTATTGAAATTTGCTTGAATAAGGATTGTGGCACTTTTGTATAAAGTTGCGAAGTACATTAACATCACCCCTCACATCACCCCTAGTGGTATTCTTCGGTACCATAACATCCAAGCAATATCAGAATTCCTGGAGTAAGCTCCACATAAAGTGTATATCCAGCCATACGAGTAATGTACATGCAAATCGAAGTGTCATATACGTATATATTCAATTCAATATGCATACACAGTCAATTACATATAGAATGCCAAAAGCAATGTCATATGCATATACAGCCAAGTCATATAAATATAAATTCAAATATGCATAAACAGGCCATTAGGCATTGGAATATGCATATAAAACTAACCTATATACAAAGAGAGCCAAGCAAATTTGCATGTACAGCAAATTTCATATTTATATATAGCCAATATCACATACACACATAATATAAACTCAATTCTATGTACATAGGCCATCATTTAATAAAGTGTTGTACAAATAAAACTTAATGTCTTATAGGCATATACAGTTAATGTAATATACATGTACATTCATTTAAGTAATATACATACACAGCCATGTTCATATAGTCAATTGAGTATACAAATACAATCACTAAAGTGATGTGTATACAAAATCCAATTCCATATGCATATACATCCAAATTACAGGCTAGGCGATGTGGCGCATCGTTCTAGGCGTTAGGAATACGCTCGCCACCGCACCTCTGATTACCCTGCGTTGATTCGCAGGTTCGAATCCAATGGGGGGGTGGGGGGGGGTGGGGGGTTGGGGGGGGTTGATTAGGTGGCAGATGAACTTATCGATTCCGTATGGTAGGTTCAAGAAACCGCTGGTCGCTTACAGCTTCCTATACCATCAAGTCCATGCATCCGAATACAAATATCTGACAAACTAATTCCATACCCGACATGGACTGGTAACCGGACAAGAGGCCGTGGTTCTTCATGTAAATAAGCCGACTTATCGTCTTCCCTTTCCCCCGGGATAAATATGCAAATCCTATCTTATCCATATAAAGTCAACCAAATGTACATATTAGGTCAATGCCAGATTCTTATGCCATCAATGTAACATACAGTAAATTCAAGATATTACACAGTCAGTGAAGCTTCATTTAAAAATGCACTGTAATAACAATGCCTCAAGCAACTGACAGAAAGCACATGTTTGTATATATAAAACTGTTACTCGTGGAAAGCTTGTGGTTTCCAACCACTTGTGCTCTATACGTCGTTGAAAGGTTTTCCTTGAAAGAGATTTGTCAGTAGATAAAATTTGACAGGAAAATATAATTTCGTATGCTTAGATGAAATAAATGTTGCTTGATAAATGAGTAAATATTCCCATCAAGATAAACTTGTGGTAATTGATCAGATATAAACGTTTAGCTAATTATGGATAATTGTCTTTGGAGAATCCGACTACACAACCAAACCAACGTTCGCTCTCGCGGAATTGGTTGAACGAATTTTGAAATAATCCCCATTCGTCCAGTAACAAATTATCAACTGTATTTTGAAATGATAAGCGGTCGATGCTGAAACCTTCTTTTCTACTATTAAAATGACGTAAATAAACAAGTAATCGGGTTTACTTAAAAAACGAGCGAGTATTTGCTAGATAACTTGCATAAACTATATCTTCTGTAAAATTTATTTTTGATTCTCCATGATTTTGCAAATCATGGAACTGATCTTGATGTCCAACTTTTAGAACTGCTGGAATAGCACCAAATGGATGAATTATTCATCGTGTAAAAGTGACGTTAATGAGATATGTGTAAAGTTGCTACAATCTTTGTTTAATTCCAGATATGATAAATGCTTGATATATACTGTATATGCACTCGAGGCGTCGTTTTAAAACTTAGTCTAAGATGAAAATCCACAAAGCATATTTTAATACGGGATGTCTGTGTGATTCCTCATATTTGTTTGCAACGCAGTGCCCTAAGGTATTCCGCTAGACTAATTACAGTCTGAACAATTCTAATCAATATCGAATGAGTTTTAGAATATTTATTTAGGAAATATCAGTTGTAAATTCGGAATAGTATTGGGCAAAGTAATAAAAAAATTGAGCAATATTTATTTAGTCGTTCAAATCATTTGATGAGAAAGATATTTGTTTTTATTGGCAGTGATTTCATCTAAGAACCAACTAATATCAAGGAAGAGCATGAATGTAACTACTATTATTTGTTTGTTGTTAATTTCCGAGATAACTGCAAATTATAAGCCAAAAGAAGAATTCGTGCATTCGGAATTTTTTGAACGGTTCGACAAAAAGGTTTGTTAAATTTCCCCCTTTTTTCATTTCTATTTTCAATATAATATTTTTAATTATATTTTGTTTTGTACAAAGATATCTCTGATTGAAGCAAGTAAGTTCAAATTTCCGAAACAAGAGGGATTCGTGTCCAAAAAATACCCGAAATGTGATCAAATAAGGTTTGATTTTTATTGGATTATATTTTTGTCGTCAAATTCTAAAATATATAAATTTTGTATAATATTTGAAAAGTTATAATCCAATCTGTAAGCGATTGTTAACTTATATACTGAATATCATTTAAAATTTCATTTGAAAGTCAACACATGGTAGATATAATTTTTTTTATTTACTCCGGGAGGATGAAAGCTGATAACGCGCCTCAATCATGCAGCGAGTCGCACAAGTTGCGTCGGCATAACTTGGGAACAATACTGGCGGTACCTTGTCGTTAAAAAAATGATGTTTTTATGATTCCGATCTATTTAATTACCCAGATATACTTCCGGTCCAGACAAATTTTGTTCCGCGAATGGTGATGAAAAACACTCTACTTGTGGAGATAGAAAATGTACTCACATATCTTACTACGGTTCCACAAAATGTGATTCACAAGTCAAATTGTTCAAACCTTTCAAACACTACGGTGTTGAGTGCAAGTAAGTGCAATTTGTTTAGAAGGGTGATAAAACAATGTATAATTGTGGAAAAACAATTATAACATTAACTTTATAACAGGACGTCGAAGAAAACTTGTGGTAACGACAAAAGGAACTATGGACGAGGAGATATCTTGTATCCAGACCCTCATAGATCACACGGTTCTGCTGAAGACTCTTGCGAATGTCAAACTATCTGGTGCTTGGATGAAACTATGACAATTTATGAAAAAGGTGGCAAATTGTTCAAAGGAAACGTCACAGTGAAGGTTTGTTTACGTTTATGGCGATTTGTCAAAAATTGAATTTATATTTACTATTTATTATAATCTTTATAGATTTATCTTTTTAATATCTCTCACTATTGTTTGAAAACAAATACCAATTACCAATATTGCTCAAAGTAAGTAAGACCTGGTTTGATACTATAAGAACAAATATCAACTTTTAGCACAATAATCAATTAATTATTACGGAAAATGTAACTCCTAAATGAATATTTTTTGCTTGATTTGATAGATTTTATATCACGTTTTATTTATCACAGACTCCGTGCAAATGTGAATGCAGAAGAAAATTTATTATGATGGGACCTTATGGCGGCGGCGGCAAATAATAAATTTTATATATATACATGTTTTGATCTTAAGCACAATCTGTATACCATTGCATTGGGCATTCATAAAATATATGAATCTGAGAAAAATATTATTCGACCGTGTTTTTTTTTCATTCTGTGGGCCGAAGGATTTAGTGAGAGAAGTGCACGAAAATTTTGACTGACTCTGCTGTTGTTGATCACAATCAAAATAATTCGATTAACTCAATTTTTCTTTTCTTGGGTACCTTAAATTTTTT